AGACTCTAATCAGATTGGAGTTGACTTTTGTTAACATACTTACCTGTGATTGGGTCGAGTTCTTCATGCACTCTAAAAATAAATGCTTTGGCTTATTGAGGAACAAAAAAGTTTGCTTCATCCTTTTTGAGTTATGAAAACTTCTGATGAAAATATGTTCAAACAATAATCTACATTGAGTCATAGTCAAATATACAGTATTTCAATAACCACTGACTTAATTGCAGCAATAACACGTTTTTAAGTTTGAATTCTTATTCACAGCTATGCTAAACTAAGAATGGCCCTATAACTATGCACACTGGGGACATGTCCCACCTCTTTTTGAAAAGGTTTATTTTGTCCCCATTACTATTTAAAAGAATAATTATTAAAAACAAATTATTAAAAAAAAACTTAAAGTTACATAATGTTAACTAATTCTAATAGAATGGTGCAGGAACGAGTCCTAAAACCCGGAAGGGAGTTAGCATTTTACCACTTCCGGTTCCCTCATCTCAGAGTCAACGGTTTTTTGAACATGTTTTTTGGAAAAAAGCTTGTAATAAGGTCTGTGGTTGACACAAATTTAAGATACGGATCACGTTTTGTTCTATGACATTAAATACATCAGCAGTGACCCCACTGGTGATTTTTGAAGAGTTTACGTGTCTGAAAAACGATGGTTGTTAACAAGTGGTTGTCCAGGACGTTGTACGTTATTACGCCGAACACGTAAAACACTCCCGCTAAATTTGATTGAAAGCAAGTACCTGCGCTCTTGCAAACTGTTAAAACAAACGCTTCAACTTGTACAATTCTGAATCTTTATTTTTGAATATGGATCTTAAGATGGCGTGACATTGAAGTGCTGTACTCGACTGTAGTTCCTTTATAGCATAACGTTAGCATTTTGATTTTGGCGATTAGATTTATGATTCGAAAATTATAAAAGTAGGGGAGACATGTGGAGATTATCCGGCTGAACAAAACGTGCATTTATCAAACAGGTTTGTTTTCCACAGATCTTATTTTTTACAATATTCCGAAATCCTATGGAGAAATCCCTTTGTTTTTTTGTCGAGGGAACCCATGCGCAGCTTACTTCCGGGTCGGCCTACAAAAATACGTCATCCCTGCACCTCTCTATAGGGTTAAGGTTACTGACCAGTAACTTAAACATTCTTAACATTTTTCCCAATTCAAGTAATTTTCTACTCTTACCTTAACGGATCTCCCTCATTACATTGCCTGAAAGTTTATATGTTGAAGACCAATTTTTTTAATCTTCTGACCACCTATCTCCAAACTACTTTCATACACAAAGTGGCGCCTTTGCTGCTAAAAATAACTAGCATTAGCTAGGTTTAGTACAAAACATATTCTTTCAACTGTAGTCAATACCCATGGTAAAATCACAATTGAGAATATGCCCATATTCATTGCTTAGTCGAATTAAGTTTTTATATAAAATAGTGTTTACCTTAAGAATGTCTTGTATAGGTGTTCCGCCTAGGTCCTCTATCATACACAGTAAATACATCCAGGCATGTAACAAGCCAATTTTATTAACGACTTGGTTAATGAAAATTAAACAAAGAAATATGGGTGCAAATTGCACTCAATATTAAACTGTTATAACTATCACAACAAATCCAAAGTTGACAAATAGAAGGCCTACGTTACTAGTGTATGGCACACGTCCAACAAAATAGTAATATGTTAACCTATATTTCTTATCGAATAGGACTTCCACTATATCAAACCTGGCATAGAGACACAAAGATACAATGACCTAATGGTTTTAAAAACAGCTCAAATTAGCCTAGCTCAGGGGTCTCCAAACTACGGCCCGGGGGGCAACTGCGGACCGTTGTCCATTTTGAATTGGCCCTCAGCAAATTGTAAAAGCATAATGGAATATGGCCCACACCTGAAACTTGTGCTTTTCTGATATTGAACTTCTTGAATATAAATGTAAACAGATATTACACAGTAGTATGTGTTAATAAGCCCACTTTCCAAATAAATTCAGTCAATTAAAGTTGAAAACATTTAAAAACAAATCTTAGTTGATAAAAAAAGCCCAATAATTTGTTTGCATAACAAGCTTGAAATATACCCTTCATAGTTCCTCTTACTATAAGCAATGAGGCTTCTGTTTTAAGGGATGAGCTGCCAACACTTTTTGCAATAAATGAAACCATATGGAAAGCTGTGATGCAGGCTGTTTGTTTTGTTAAGCATATTCAATTATCAAGCATTATTTACCTACATTTCACACATTTTGCCAACTTATAACTTAACTTATGAGGCAATATACCTCACATCTAGTGAGTGGCCAAGCCCTTCGTATGTTTTGTATGTGGCCCTAGGTTAAAACGTTTAGAAACTCCTGGCCTAGCTTAAACAAGAGATACGTTATTGGTATGTTTTTCCGAAGTAGCACATCCTACTGTCCTTTTGTTTTTCCTTCAGCTGCTTTCTTATTTGATCTATGTTGAGCTAGTATTAACGTATTTTCTTTCCTCCTTCTAAACTGTTGCTATACAAATCCCCCGGTCCTGTGTGACATCACCACTCACATTACCCATCATCAAAACATGGTCAATTATCATAAGCCTGTTACTGTCATTCACCAATACCACAGGGTTTGTCCGCAATAGAATAGTCATAGAATTATAGTATTTAGAATTGTTTTTACAAATTATACTTTTAAAGTGTTGCAACTTAAATGGTAAATTGCTTTTAATTAAGTGACTGTCAACAGGTACCTTAAATTACAAGTGCATATCTAAAAGTATTGCACCAAGCAGCAGTTACAGTACCAAATGATGATGCAACAACAAAACTGAACATAATCTTTGATACTAAAGTGCCAACCTTTTCTCGAGTACTTATAAACACCCTGCTGCTTTAGCCACACATACAAAATGATGACTCAGCTCGACAATATGAGATTTTAGGGCTGCTTGTTCCGATTCAGGCACACTGACACACACTCACCTCACAAGTGCAAACAAATTTGATGATTTTAATCAGTGTAACATGCTGAGAACACAAACAAACCCTCTGGGCGCTTATCAATCACTGCGGAGCACACGTACACACACCTACGTACACACACAGGGACACAAACACACAATTAACAATTAACTCAAATTTGCTCTAATTTAGATCTTTTTTTCCTGCAGTGTGTTTGTAATACAGGATGCTGCCTAACTCAGCATAAAGGAAAGCAAAACACCTTAAGCACCAAGCAACACAAACATTTAAAATGTATGAACATACCACGATATATATTGGCTTATTAGAAATCATCATCACCAACAAAATGGAATTATCCTTCTGTATTTCCCGATGTTTTCTCATTTTTCATGATTTTCATTTCATCACATTCAGAATAAGTTTTGCATCAGAACAAAACATTAAGCAATTATCTCGTATTTTGAAATAAAATCTGTAACATTTAACCATGACCAATTGATAAAACCAATTACTTTATTATAAAAAGTTTTAAACTTTGCTGCACTTTTTTTTATAAACAGTAATTTCGCACCTGCATTTCCAAATCACTCTTTATAAAAGTATCGACAACTGTAATTATGTTTATTGTTTACTGTCAGGTCAAGTGCTTTTCTGACAGCACACGCACAAATAGTCGGATAACGTTAGCATTCAGTGTTGGTCCTCAACTATGCTGATAGAGCTATCATTACGATAATACTGAGGTCTATCATAATTGTCTGCTAATTGACTGCCTAATGAGGTAGAGCTCATTAGAATGCTCATTAATACTCCATCATCACCATTGATAGCTGTAATCACAGACTGGTGCTTTCAAGGTCTTACAGAAGGGTGTGTGAAAGTGGGTGTGGATACTGTGTGTGTGTTTTCAGAATTGTCAATTATTTCTTCCAGCAGTAATATGTAGAGGGTCTTGAATCAATATGTAGAGGGTCTTGAATCAATATGTAGAGGGTCTTGAATCACCCTGTTAGGGGGTTTCCTTTCACTCTTGAGGCATATCATTTCACTTATCACACGGCTACTTACTAAGATCAATAATATGACACAACATATTGGTTTCACCATGATTTTGATGATTTAAAAATGATCTTACCGCTACCGCTGAGAAAAAATAGGCCGTTCTACTGCATAGCTATGAATGGAACTGTGGCGTCAGCAATGTAACTTGAAATGACAGCAGCTGTTTTCTGTAACTGTGGAAGTCTTCTCACATTTTTGTTTTAATTGACCAGTCTTTAAACACTGCCAGAGCCCATATCGTGTCCCCGTTAGTGTTATGTTTTTGCAGATTGATATGACTGCATGTTCCCAGTGGTCTGCTACTGAAAAGAGCAGATTGCTTAATGTCAAAATGTACCATTCACAATTGTGTATTCAACAAAGCAGTGTAATGAATTCTAAGTATGGAAATACAGAACCTGTTGCATTCAGCCATACCAATACAATTTATATGTATAGCCTATAAAAAAGCAATATTTTTATATAAAATGTATCTGACATTCATTAATGACATCAGACTTGTGTGCCATTTGAAACTGCAAAACCAGTAACACAAAGACGGTCCAGATATATATACTGTATATCATTTGAATCTGCCTTTTCTCCAATACTTTTATTTCTTCTTTAGTTACAGTTTTCTATATACATTTAAGTTTTGGATTAAATGACAATGTTACATTATAAAAATGCAGGTCACTGTAACTGGAATTACTTGATGAGCCTTAAACTATTTCCCCAAGGCAAGGGGCTCACCTACTAATCAGTAGCTCTTTGCACTGGTTCCTGAGGGGATAAGCAGGCTTCTGAGCAGCCACCATAACTTAATCTTACTATAACGATACCACTTTCTTCATTTATAGTATTGCCCCAAAAATCGCGGTATGCATTGCAGTTTCCACTGTGTATTCCCCAGCCACAGCGCCGCGCGCATAATCCTGCACTTTCTCTCAGTATGCTATTTTCTATTTTAACTGTGCTGTTATTTTTTGCAGGTATGCCTCTCAGTCTGGACTGCAAGGCTTTTTTTGGCTACAGCGGAGAAAACAGAAGGCCCATTATCTACTGGATGAAAGGAGAAAAGTTTGTTGAAGAACTAGCGGGACACATTAAAGAGAGTGAAGTCATGTAAGTACAACAGCATCAGACAACATGAACCACTTCTTTGTTATTTTTTGAGGAGACAAAATAACAGTAGATGGAAATTCAAATTGAACCTAAATTGAGTAGGTACTAAGTACACATAACTGAACCTAATATCGTAAGACACTTGCATGACAGTATAATATAAATTACAGCCTCTCAAATCTACAGGTATCTATTGTTAATTAATTTCAGAAAAAGACTGCACTCCTTACACTGTCAGTATCTAATGTGGTCTCTTATGATTTATGACTCATTGAGGGTTCCCTGACAGATTTCTTCTCAACTTTCCTTAAAAATTATGAATACTTATGATAAAGTTCAATTTAATTCATTGTCTCCCCTGTTGGGACCAATTACAGTTGACTCTATTGGGAAAAGACTTATTGCCTGCAGGGCATCAAATATGATTAGAGCAACCTGCCACATCTCCATGGTAACCTTCAGAACACTCATGGTTTCACACTCTCTTCACAGACACACACAAACACACACACACGAGTGGAGGTCTTGGGAACCTTAATTATGTCTCTAACAGACACACATTAGCCTTAAAGAGTTAGATAAATATTAATTTAGAGCAAAGTTATTTATTTGCTGTGACAAGCGTGTTTGAAAGAAGTATTAAGTTACTTTGTGTTAAGTTTCAGTTATATGTGACTCATTTAGCAGCTAGCGAGTAGTTTGCTACCTCATAGTTTGCTACCTCATAATTCTGCCATGCTATAATTATGCAATCGTATGGAAATGAGCCAAAACATTTATGCTTCGTTTTTTCATAAGTGGAAATAACAATGTAATTCATACGTTGTAACAAATGTGAGTGAATTAATCATTAATTTGTAAAATGTTACTCATTAAGCGGTTAGCAGGTAGCTTGCTAGCTAGCTTGCTAATTCCATCATGCTCTCGTGCTACACTCGTCACAGAAATTGAAACTGAACATGTTTTGCTGGCAATTGCAACCTGATTCCTGCGGTAACAAGAGTGTGTGATGAAACGTAAAGTTGTACTCCATTGGCAGTTGGCTAATAAGCTAGCTACACTGGTACCAAAAAACGAGACGTGAAAAATTAGTAAGTAGTACAATCACAGTACAGTAGGCTAGGGTGACCAGACGTCCCCGTTTTCCGGGGACAGTCCCCGTTTGTATTGGCCGTCCCCGGTTGAAACTGTGTTCGGAAATGTCCCCGTTTTTTTAATATACGTTAAAAACACATAGCAAGGTGAAATAAAACGTTTCATGTCAGGAAACACTGGGTAAACAGACTGTGGTCAAGCCAGCCCCCACTTCGGAAAACACAGTCAAGCCAGCCCGCACGTTGTATTGCGGTGCGCGAATATCCTATGCATTACGGTAGAGGCCTGTAAAAACTGCCTTCAAAATAAAAGCGTTTACTCTGTCAATAACAAATATACCTAAAAAACACACCAAACATATTCATATATACTGGATCTTAAATTAAGAAATATGTACTATATCATGTGATCAATAATAATGTAAAACAAACTACGTATAACTACCACATTATAACTGAGTGAATGTAAAATGTAAGTAGGATACAGTTATGAAGACATATCTGACATTTCCACTGGGTGACTAATTTCAATTGATGTTGACACCATCTCACAACACTCCTAAAATAACAGTACTTTCTGAAGCACAATTTAAAATGTATGCTGTTTAAAATCTCAAATTAGATCTATTGTCCATCTATATTTTGATTATTATTTAATGGAAACCGTCCATAATCAAAGAGTCACTCGAAGTCAATCAAATACTTATTTCACTTCAGGGTGATAGCAGGAGACCCCATCTAGTCAATCAGAGAAAATCAGGACAATCTGATGTAGAATTTCTAAATAAAATACTTTTGAAATCTCATATATGGGCTATCATCCCTCTGTTTTTAGATAAGAATAAAACAAAAACAATCCAGTATCAAAGACTTATTTCACTTCAGGGTGATAGCAGGACACCCCATCTAATCACTCAGAGAGAATCTGGACAATCTGATGCAGTTTCAAAATAAAAGACCTGAAGTCTCATATATGAGCTATCGTCCTTCTGTTTGTATCCAACAGTTCAATTGTTTGAATTACATTGAACCAGAATTCTCCCCTTTTTTTTCTTTAACAGTGAAGAAAATTGGATATGTTAATGATATATTGACCGCAAAACTCAAAATGTCCCCGGTTTTAATTTAGAAAATCTGGTCACCTTACAGTAGGCAAGATATATTCTCTAAATATACCTAACCTGTTAATTTGTTTTAATAACCTTTATAATCCTCTGATCATCCCCTGCTTGAGGTGTTTCAATGTTTTATTGCACAGCTACACTTCTCATAGCAATTTTATTAAATAATAACGCATTACTCACTTGAGGAAACCATTTATTCTAGGGGTTATAAGATACTAATGTAAGGTTGATTAATAATATCCCTACGTGTCACCGCCTGGGCTCAAACATAAGGAACGAATAAATAAAATGCTCTAACAGATTCATGTTCATCCTCATTAACATCCATTTTCCCTCCTCACCTCATATACAGTACAACCTATCGTCTATTCCTTGACCTCTGAGTGAAACGTCACGGGGTTAAGGGATAGATAGGAGAATTCAAAAGGACTTAGGAGAAGAGACTGCAGTACTTTAGAGAATCCGACTGCACTTTCAGAAGTGTTTATGATGCGCCAGTGGAGGTCATAAATGTGCGTCTGCTGCTGTGGGGAAACTATGGAAACTACAGTTTTCTATACAGCGGACTACAACATGGATGTATAATAAGAACGAGGGACTACTGTAAACTCATCTAGAGACTCTGCACCGTGCTCTGATGCTGTTGTTTTATGCTTTATGAACGTGGACAACAGAGAAACATATTCTTTATGACCAAAGTTGGAATTTAAATAAAAAAGGAAAGTGAAGCGTATGCTCGTCACCCTCTTCATCCGGTCCACATTAATACAAATGATCCCAATACGTATGATTGTATGGACTATGAAAAGATCTTAAAATAAATACAAATGTATTTATTATAAATGTTAGTCCTTAACATCTATCACTGTGTATATCACCATTCAAACATCTTTTAAAAGTTGAACAAACCCCACACAGCTCAGTAAAGACTGTGAAATGTTGACTTTATTTGATAATTTCAGTAAAAACTCACGTTCATATTTCTCTTTTTGATTATAATACTGATGAACGTTAAAAAAAAAGCACTTTGGCAACTTACCACATACGTTTTAAAATGCTTAATAAGCACCGTAACTTTCATGATATAATTTATCGGTCATAATCGGTTGTTTCCGTGAACGGCCGAATGTTGTGTGATGGCAAATGCCGCGACTGCAAGGCATTGTGGGGCAGCATTTTCCCCTCTCCTTTCGTCAAGGGAGGTCCAGTGGTTCCTAAGCTAAAGGAGGTTATAAAGGAAGTTTGAAACCTCCTTTCCTATCATCCAGACTAGAGAATACGAACGGCACTTATCATGGCTGCCACTGAGGGACTTCCGGGTCATTTCACTCTGTTAGGAAGGTTCCTAAGCTAAATGGGCTATTGGACTTCAGCCCAGATCCCTCCGCTTCGCGTCGGGCTCCTGATCAGCCTGTCTGTGTTCTTTTCCCCATAATGACCAAGTCGCTGCACGTTATACCGCTTATTGCATGGCCACATTCTCAACAAAGTAACGATATGACTCCCAATATTAATTGAAATGCTTTTATGGATTTAGAAAATGATTTTATTGATTTAAAAAATAGTTGTATGTATTGATTTAAATTGACATGCATCCGCTAAGATAAATAGTCCGTTGTTACTGTTTGAACTAATGTAGCAACGGCAGGAACTGCTTCGATAGCGTTTTTGAGGCGCTTTTTGATTACAGATTTGAAACCATCGTTGCTTGCTTTAAAAGTAGCACAATTCATTATGTCAAACCTTGGAAAGTATCTAGATATCCCTGCCCTAATGCCAAAGTAACTGGCAACTGAATATGTGTCGCCGTTTGATGTCTATGTCTGGACCGCTGCGTAAAAAGGAGGGTTTCTGCCCCGTTCTTCTCTTCTTACTTCTATAAGAATAAAACACAGAGGACTAAGATCTCTTTTTCTCCCCCTCTTCTGACAGCCCAGCAGCTGATCTCAAAGCACGCTCCCCTCTCCTGCAGGGGGGCGTGGTCAGCTGCAGCTCACAGAATCAGCCCCCTGCAAAAACAGCGCTGGAAAGAGCAAATAGAGCGAAATGAGGCATGGCTAAAATGCAGGATCTGTTTGGTATTTTGAAAAAATAACTATATTTATATACTTTATATACAATATATTGTTCAAATATAGCATGATATGTCCTCTTTAGGGATGCTCCGATCGCCGATCCGATCGCCGATCCGATCGAGCGGGCGGGGCCTATGGGGATCTTCCATTTAAAGCAACACGTTCTCACTCCCAACCATAGCTCCCAACCATAGCTCCCAACCCGTCACATGTTGACGGTCGGTCAGGGCCCCTCCCCGCCACCGTATTATGTGCAGGGTACCGCTTGAGCGTCAGTTTTCAATGGGGAGGGCGTCCCATACACTTGCATAGAGCTCCCTGAACGTTGGTAATTGACGAGTTGGGATCGTGGCGAAATGCTCTCCGCAGATCCATTCTCACAGCGTTTATCAACCTTTTTCTTACTCAATATCAAGCCACACTTATTGTGTTTACTTCTTTATTTTTAATTGAATAATGTCAGACTTTTGTAGCCGTCAGTTAGGGGGAGAGTAGGGGCTCAGAAAACTGAAATCTGTATTGTTTCATCGTTTTTGCCTTCTAATTTTGTATTCTTTTCTAAACCACACACTGTTATTTACTCAACAATAAGACACAATTATCCCTGTGTTTATTTATTTGTTTGATTGTATAATGTCGGACCTTTGGAGTCCGTCAGGACCGAGGGTCGGAGCAGCTCATAGTAGTTGCTTTAGATAATTTTACAC